ATGGTTTGAAGGCAAATAAGAAATGAGGAAGTTGTAGACGAATCTTTTGACTATCATTCAAACCAGCTAGTTTCTCAATGGGACGAATGTTCAATGCATTTATCCCATTCGTTGTCCAGTAAAATATATTGTGCTTCAAATAAATATTTTCATCCTTTATACTTTGTTTCAATATTTAAAGTAGAAGCTAAATGGCTCTTTGAAATTTGTGCTTGGAAGTTATTTGGCGCCACTTAAAATTTTGTTATATTCCAATTCTCAACTCCCTTTTCGACCATATATTTTCTCTTACTAAATGATGCACGAAAATGTACCTTCTGTGAGATTACAACCATAATGTTCCTTCTTTGAGATCACAACCATACAGTTCAGTTAATCTTTATAGTTTCTTGGATTATTTTGTTCTGAATTTGTTACAAACAGCATTTTTTACTTTAAATTCCACCTATAGGTCGTATAACTAAGTACTGTTACTGGCAGCGAATTGCAGAGGCTTCACAAGCAATTTGTAATTGGAGGTATCTTGACAGAGGCTGAATTTTGGGCGACGAGGAAGGTCAGCTACTGGAGTTTGAACTTCGGTGTCTATTTTGATTGTTTGAAAGAACTAATAATGAAAAAATGAAACTGTTTCCATTTATCTTGCCTTGTTTCCTTCCTTATTTTTTAACAAATCTCATGATTAGCCATTCCCAGAGGATAGCTTTCACATTTTTCCTATTTTGGGATAAAAAGTTCTTTGATAAACATTTGAGGAAGTTAAGAAAGTCAACGACACAGTATACTCATAAAAAATTCTGTAAGATCTGGTAAACACATTGTAACAGCATCATATGGGCAATTTTTTTGTAAACTGTTTCTGATAAATGGTTTTTGTTTGACACATCTTTTTAGAAAATCTTACTTGACTGCTAGCGTTGAAAAATTGATAAGGACAGATCAGGACCAGCAGGTTGAGCTTTTAGTTGGTCTAAAGCTACTGACAAAATATATGATAGATAATCAGAATTCATTAATGAAGTGCAGAAATTACTGGATCAAAATGACAGAAGAAAGCCAAAGCAGCGAGTGGCCTTAAAAAACGAAATGTGGAGTGTGAAACCCTTATCGGATGGTCAGGTACAAGAAAGAACTCCTTTATCTGTGTGTGCATGAGTGTGCGTGTGTGCATATGCGTATATCATTGTCTTTTTAAGTTTGTGTCTGTGTATCCCTATATGTATTCTCACATAAAAAAACTCCATTTTGTTCGCATTGTATGTCACCAGAACTCATTTTTTTTGATCCGGGTGAGTTTTATGGTCCTGAATGCAAGACCCTAGTCCCATTATGAGATGGAATTTAGTTGGTGTGCCATGTGTTATGGTTTGGATTCTTTGGGCAGCAGAATTAAGTAGGTGATGCTGTCAGGCTGCAGTCTGTTGTGGGCCATGCTTTTCCATGTGGAATGTTACTCAAAAGGGCCTGCTGGATAACTTATTTGTTTCCGGTCTCATATTCATTCACGAAGATAAATTTACACTTTTTAGGAAGAATAACTTGTTTGTTTCACATATTAACCAAAACGAAATGGTTTTTCAGTAATTTTGGATGTTATAAATTTTTTCATTTTCCCAATTTGAAAGCAATATCCCAACAACTCAAAAATGTATGCAAAAATTAAGAGAAATAAGCATTAAGAGATGGAATTGATGGAGATGTCTAGCAAAGGCATGTTTGCATCTCAGTTTGCTGGGTTCTCCAGAATTTTGTGCAATCTTTTTGGCAATGATTGGACATCCGTTTTCATGCATTTTCTAGATCTGCGGATTTTCATCAGGTGTGGTTGGTAGATTTGTTCAGTCCTGGATGTGGTGGTTTGCTGCAATTGAGGAAGGGGAGGCTTCCCATCACTGATTCCCACAACATTGACAGGGTGAAGATTTGGTTGTTTGAAAGGACACTGCATTGAGAGGACTCATGATTGTTGTGATTGGTGGGAGAAGAGCAGCACTATGGTGATTGTTGGGGTTTAGTGATAAAGATGGAAATTGAAACCTTTTTTTCGGTAGCCATAGGATTTGACATCCCCATGTGTTTGATGATCATTAAATTTAGCTCCTATTTGACAACCATTATTTGGGTAAAATGAGTTTTGAATAGTGATTTTTTGGAGAATGTAGTTAAAAAGTAGAAAAAAGTTTTAGGTTTACGTGCAACATATTTTATTGTGGACGTGTGGTTGAAAATGAGTGTAGAAAATAGAGTTTTGAAATACTGGTTGTCAAACAAGGGCTTTGGTATTCGAGAAGCAATGCAAAACTCCTTTTTCTGTTTGTGGTTTTTGCAACTGTTTTGCTTCTCATTTCAAAGGATTTAAATATAAATGATAACAAAAACTTGAAACCATTTTCTTTTTCTCTTCAAAATTTTAAAACAAAGAAAAGTACTAGAAACATGCTCATTACCAAATAGCTCCCAGGTCCTTTTGAAGTTAGCTTTTATCTGTCTGTGAAGTCTGATAATTTCTCTGAGATTTGATTACTTGTCTTTTATCTTTCAACATGCAACCTAATTGTCATGTCTATATTTGTTGTATTTTCAGTCTAACAGAGTTACATTCAACTTGACTCCAGAGATTATTCATCAGGTACAGTTCCATTCTTTAAAGTTTGTGAACTAGAAAAGTACTTTCCTTTGGATTAAGTTAGCCTCTTACCATAGATAACAACGAACGTTTAGCTATTTTCAGTGCTGAGTTTATATGAGATAGTCCTTTTAATTGATACTGTGATTGTTAAGTCGGAAGTGACTCGAATGACAGAAGACTTGGGGGACAACATGAATTTCCTATTAAATTTTTACCAAGAAAGCTCAAAATAATATTTATTACTATCCAAAATTGCTGAGGTTTGTAAAAATTCTTTCAGTAATACCTACATTTCTCTGAAAAGCCAAACTAACTAACAAGTTTAATTGTTTTGGCACGTCTTTTTTCTTATCTTTTCCCATTTTCTTACTGAAATGACAGAACCATTGTGTAACTTTGTGTGCTAGATGGATTAATTGGAAGTACAATGCTTTAACATTAAAACTATTTTCATTCAGTGATAGGATACTTTTTTATATTTTTGCGCATAACTTCAAGCTACTGTCGAATATTGTTGTCATTGTGTCTTCCCATACGTGAGGCCTAAATATTAAAGAAAAATCTTGGTGCGGAAGAGTTTTAGAAATTCTTATAATAAGAATTATGTAATAAATAAGAATGATATTTGAACAATCATGTCTTGTATATATTGAATAATAATTGATTGTTGTTGAAAAGTGTACAATGCCTTTATATTTATATGCAAAATTATTCTTTAATCCTATTAATAAAAGGAAACTAAATGCTAAAAAAAAATAAACTAATCCTAATATAAAATAAATTATAAATCATATTCTAATCAATAAAGAAAAGAAATCTTATTCTAAACAAAATATTAGAACTAAAGATAAAACTTATTACAGCTAAACCTCTTATTATAAATATATAATCTTAATCCTATTTATAATAGGATTGTCCTACATCAAATCTACTGAAGCTCCACTAGGGTAATTTGTGTTAGAAAATAATTTGTTTCTCTATGTGCAACTTCTGTTGTTGGTTATTAGTTAAACGTCTGGATATATGTCTCTGAACATAGCCCATGTTGTCAACCTTACTGATACCCTAAACTTACTGCAGATATTTGCTGAGAAACCAGCTGTTCGCCAAGCATACCTGAAGTTTGTTCCAAACAAGGTGGGGAAAATGTCAATGTTTGACATCCTTTCTTGGGAAGTTCTTTTCTTACATATTTCCTTGTTGCACTTATATCCCATCAGCTTACTTGTCCGTGTGGCCATGATTATAATTATGATGATTATCAATATATTTTTTATTTTCCAGGAGTAATTTCAATTGGATTCCTTGACATTATAGTGCTTCATACTGGGTTCCATTAGGCCGTGGACAATCGCCTTAAATTTTTTCCGTTCTTTCAGTGAGTGAAAATTGTTGCGTGTTGGAGCCAACGGTATTTTATTGTTAATAAAAATCGGACAGTCCCTGAAATTTTGGTGCTTAATGCTTGGTTCAATTAGGCTTTGGATAGTTGCCTTAAACCTTTTCCCATCTCAGTGAGTGAAAAATGGTTGCTTCTTGGAGCAAATGGTATTTTAACCTCCGTTTGGCTAATTTATGAATGTGATCATAAGTCGTTTATAAATGGTAAAACTTCATGTTTAACCATACATTCCAATAGATCCACAAGTACTGTCCACTTATCCACTGCTCATTTGTATCTATCTATAAATTCTTTCCAAACGGAGGCTTAATGGTAATTAAAAATTAGACGGAGTCCCTGAAATTTTGGTGCTTCATACTTGGTTCCATTAATCTTTGGATAATGGCCTTAAACATTTTCCTGTCTTTCACCAAGTGAAAATAGTACGTTGGAGAAAATGGTAATAAAAATAAATGGTAGTGGCCCACATGATTTTGAAATTGTCAAATTTCATAATCCATATGGTTGATAGAACCTTGAAGGAGAATGTCCTCTTTTGTGGAAAGCTACTGAATGTGGTCTTGTTACCTTATTTGTAAGAATAACCATGCATGAGTGTTCAGAGTAGGTGAAAACTTTGAGTTTTTCTTTTTTTTTTTCCTGAAGAAAAAAGCAATGAGTCACTTAACTTTTGTATATAAAAACATGAAAAATATTTATTGAAATTAAATGTTTTATAAACTTTTAAGAAGTATCACTTGAAGATGGTTCTTAGATGCATGCTAAATCATTAAATATGAAGGTATACTGTTAGTTGTTGGAAACTCAGAGAGCTATGTGCCATTGGCAATTTTTGTCTAAAAGAAGTTCCATAGCCGTTAGAAATCACTGACAATGAAAAGTTTGGTAATCCAGATGTCAGAAAAAGAATTCTGGACCAAATATTCAAGAGCAGAATATCTCCACAGTACTAAAAATGTAGTTGCTGCTGCAGCTGAGGCTGCTGAAGATGAGGAGCTTGCCGTTTTTTTGAAGCAAGATGAAATGTTGGCAAATGAAGCTCGTAGAAAGGTGATTTACACTTGAAGTGTGCACTTATTATTTTCCACATGTTAACATTCTCACACTGGAATTTTGAACTTGTTTTTCAGATCAGGCGTGTTGACCCAACTTTGGACATGGAAGCTGATGTAGGCGATGACTACATACATCTCCCGGTACATTTGGTGGCATCTATATTCTGATGTCTTATATATCCGGTTCATTAACAAATGCTAGAAGAAGCTTTGTTTGTTCACTTTGTTCTTGATATTTATTACTATAATCTAGAGCGAAAATAGGAAGTGGTATCCAACAAATTTGTTTATAAACATATGTAACTGGTGTTACTGACATGTTATTTTTGGTTTCGTCTCCATTCCCATTTTGGATGTTGTAATTCTTGAACTGCTCTTAGGAGCACATCATATTGGTTCACAAGGTCTTATGTTAGATTGCATTTTGGTTTTCACAGCCTATTGCATATGGATTTTACAAATTTTTATCACATAAAGTTGTGCTCTGTGACATTTTAGGATCACGGGTTACTTCGTGAAGAGAGCAAGGATGTTTTAGATTCACAATATGAGCCATACAGAAGATATTTCTCGCAAGATCTTAACCAGCATGCTGCAGTTGTTCTTCAAGGAAGAGTTGTAGGTAGGTCGTTCTGTAAGCCTTTTAAGGCATATTTACCAAATTGTTGAAGCTTTTCAGTTTCAAGAAGTGATAAATTTTGTTGAAGAATTTGACTTTTATAAAAGAGTACAGTCTCTGCATGATGCCTTGTAGGGTTTAGATTATCTGTCAAAGCTTGACTTGTGATAATCCGATGAAGAGTTCATACTATTCAAGCACCATTCTGTTATGTGGTATGATGGTCTATTTTTCGACCTTTCCTTTTTTCATTGCTTGTACCAGAGAGCTGATTAGCTAGTTTGTGTCACAGGATGGGAGTTCTGACAATGGTTAGTGGTCTTGTAATTCATGCTGAAAGTCAAAGTCTCAACATGCTAGTCCTATGTCTGTTGTTTGCATATAATTGTTTGGGTTTAAGTGAGAGAGAGAAAGAGAGGTATTTGCATGTAGCAGATGGTGATGGTTTGTTAGTTTCGTCCTTTCTTCTAATTCTCTGCTATACATGTTTTAACACATATTATCCTTCTAGTATCAAATCATTTAAGACAAGCAGCTTCTCTGTTGACTTGTATTGCAATTTCATTGGTCCATTCCTTTGTTGACCAATGCAGGCCAGTGTAATAAATAAAAATTATAATAATCTAACTATGATTTTTTGCAAAGAGCTGGGGAATTGCCAGAATTATTTTTTAAACATTTACAGCACAAGTGAAATGTATGAAAGCCTAATGGCTTTTCTTTTTGTTTCTACAATCTGAGCATAGATGTTGAGCTCAGAGAGACAAGGTCTGTGGCTGAAGCACTTGCCCGGACAAAACAAGGTTAGAGGATAGCTTCTTTCCCTCATTAATGGCAATATATATGCTAGAAACTAAAAAATAGTGCACCTGAATTTTTCTTTTATCTTTGCAGCTGAGTTGGCTAATGAAGTATATGATGGGAATTTAGAAAAAGATCTCTCGCACAGAATATCTCGAATGGCCGAGATTGAGGATCTTCAGGGGCCACGAGACCCTGCAGTTGCTCCCCTCTGTATTAAGGTTTGACTATTGCATTTTATTACTTTGTACTGTAATTGTATATCAGTAATATACGTTATCTAAGTTCATTGATGACACTAAGAAAAAGATGAAATAGAAAAACAATGCTGTTGATTATCTCATGTCTTACGTTTTAAAACAGGATCCTAGGGACTACTTCGATTCTCAGCAAGCTAATGCATTAAAAGCATTAGGAGATGCTGTTTCTGGTGCAAAGACATTAAAATTTAATGTAAGCTCAGTTGAAGCCTATGGTTCTTTAAGGAAACTTATATCAGAGATTAGAGTCGCAGGATTGAGTGAACCAATCACAGATCCAGAAGTTGCTTTTAAGGTATTACGTCTTCACACACACACACGCACACACACACACACACACATATTGTCTGTGGGTATGAATGTAGTTTACTTAAGAAGATGTTTGTGGGCATATGAGCGTTGATTCGGGAAAACATAACTACTCACTATTATTATGTAGGTTCTCAATGGGTTGACCCAAAATATATCAAGCACCAAATACCATCTCGGAAAGAACCCACACGAGAGCATATTGGATAGTTTGCCAAAGGTTACTAAAGAGGATCTCTTACATGTGAGTGCACACCAATACAACATGTACTGCTTCTATCGTTATTTCTGCTATATTACTCTTTCATCATGTTTTCTAAAATGTAGTTTGTTATTTTGTAGCATTGGACGTCTATTCAGGAATTATTGAAACATTTCTGGTCATCATATCCAATTACAACAAAGTATCTTTATATGAAGGTAATTATGCCATTTTTTCATGCTTGAAAAAGATGACAGCAACGCTTTTTTACCTTTCGACAAGATTTCAGTTTTCTAAAAAAAAAAAATTCCACCGCTCTTCGCGACCTTTATTGATCTTCAATAAAGAAATTGCATGAAATTGCTAATTACATTGTAAATTAAATGTTTTAATATTGCTGGCCAGACTATATTAATGCAATCCTCCATTTCATAAGTCGATTGAGTATTTTGAACAGTTTACACTCTTCATAGGTAACCAGATTGAAAGATGCCATGTCACAAGTATATCCAAAGCTACAGGTATCTTTGGTTCTTCTGGATATGTACGATTGTTTCTCGTACACTGGATTGCCTACTTGCGTGTATAATATTTCTTGTATCTTTTCATTAAATTCCAGGAAATTAAGGAATCAGTGCAGTCAGATTTCCGGCATCAAGTTTCCTTACTTGTCCATCCAATGCTTCAGGTTTTCTTCAATGTCAACTCTCAATTTAGTCCTAGCATTGTTTTTTGATGTAGGCCTCAAATAATAAAAAATTGTTTGATGTAGGCTTTAGATGCTGCCTTTGCGCATTATGATGCAGATGTACAGAAAAGGTCTGCTAAGAGTGGAGAAAGACCCAACGGGTTTGTGTAGCAAAAATTTTCGCGGTTTTTTCACATTGTAAAGAATATATGAAGCGTATATCATATAAATTTTGTTGATTTTTCTCCTTTTTGAGATCTCATTAATTTTTACATTGCTGGGTGCTTCTTACAGCGTTACATGTTCTCATGGATTATGGAAACCATAAATGTTACCTTAATTATCTCTTGTTTCACCGTGGGGATTTTGAAAGAGCTTTCAACTTGTGATAGCTAAGCAAGTGGAATGAAACGTGCAACATAATTAACCAAATGGGTCCAAAAGGAAGTTCATAGATTTATCAAGTCATCACAAATGGGTCTTTACAATAACTAATGTATAAGTTAACACTATGGCATGTTGAGTATTATATTTATGGATTGCACTCAGAAAGAAAGGTGTAAGAATTTAAAGTTCGGGTTTTTGTTTTTTTTAATTTTATTTTGTAGAAGAGCTTATTGATGATAGCTTGAGCTAGCTTCTTTTAAAAGTTTTTCTAGTATGACGAAACATTTTCAAAAAAAATTATCCAAATGAGTTTACAAACATCTTTTGAATTTCAAAACGACTTTTGACTTTTAATAAGTCTTGCCAAATGAGGCTTTATATATTAATATGTACTCAAATTTATTTTATTGAACAATTAAAAATTTAATATTGCATTTATGAAATATTTATTAAGACAACCGAGAAGAAAACTATTACTAATCCACACAATTAATGAAATGTTCGAAAACAAGAACTATAGGACTAGAAAGTTGAAGAATCTTAACGGCTTCAGAAAGAAAAAAAAAGACTTCAAAAGTGTGAAGCCTAAGCCAAACCAGCTTTATATTCATATAATATAGACAATTCAACAAGTAATGCATCAAGTTTCAACTGAAAATTCAATGAAGAAAATGACAACATTCCGAATAATAACATAAAACTAACCACATTCAATTATTTATATATTTGGATTTATGGCCTAAGATGGTGGAGGAGCATTGAAACCCAAGAATGGCCGTCCGGCGGAGCAGAGGGCGGCGGCGGTGCTGCAATCATGCATTGTGTTCTCCAACCTGTGAAACCCATTCTTGAATACACCAAATCCGAACAACAATCCAATGGCCACAACCACTAATATAACGCACATGATGAAACAACAAACCCTAGTCCCACAACACATTCTTTATCCCTTCGTTTCTTTATTGACAGAAAAACAAAATCTGGATCTGGGTTTTTGGATCAAGAGAATATTGCACTTGTATTGCTTTGAGCGGGAGGTGGGTGGGGTGGTTATATGTTCTTGAAGCGGTTGTTCTACGCAGTGTTTCTGGTGAGTGAGGAATAATATAATTCATATTATAATCAAAGTTGGTGTCATTTCACTTTCATTTCATCCATATTTTCGATTTCTCCTCCAATATTTTCAGTTGTCTATGGCCCGTTCAACAAGATTTATGCTTTTGGTAGAAAAGTTTTTTAAGAAGTTACTTTAAATCGACTTTTTCTAAAATTCCTCTGCTTTATAAAAAAATTATCTACGTAGATACAAAAGCAACTTTTTATCTTATAAATAATTTTTAACTTTTCAAAAATCTTGTCAACTGGACCTTATTTTTCCGTATCTAGGAATTGATGCTTAGGACTCAAGATTAGGTTAATGCCAAAAGGAAAAGGATGGGGACGGTTAAGCTGTTTCAACAATAGTTCCCCTCGATAGAAATCATTAAATTTGCATGGTCCATGTACATCCCCAAATAACAGAAGGGAGAATTTGGATTTTCGTATCTTACATTGCATTCCCTCAACAGCAATGAACCCCTTGCAAGAAAGTTTTACCTAAGAAACAAGTCTCATCATACGTGAGAAGCTGTCTTAGATTAGACGTGTTTGGTACGCAGTATTAGACATTATTCTTTAATCCTGTCTATAATATCGAGAACCAAAGGTGCCGTGTTTGTCTTGCTAACTGAACATGACATTCAACTGAAGGACAAAGGAGAGTTAGCCTAATTCTAGGTAAAAAGTTATGATAGGTTCTGGAGAAAGGACCACACATAAGAAAGACATGGTACATAAATAACTTGAACTGTTACAGCTGAATGCATCTCTCATTTCTATGTGTGTTATCTCATTTTCTTAGTAGTAAGAACAAAATTTTTAAGGGATAAAAAGGAAGATAAACAAGCCTAGGAGCTTAACTAACTTAAATGTACAATAGGGTACCCAATTTAAATCACTTTAAAGTCATAAAAGCACGGGATATTAATGCATAACTTCCGCAATTATCGAGGAAAAGAAGAGTATGATGGTCAAATTAACTATCGGAAAGAAAAATAGAATGTATGCAAGAGAGAGATCAAATGAGCGATGGATTTGGCTAAACTTTAAATGAACATGTTGTCAATAAGTCGCACGTGTATAATGAATGGATGTAAGTGGGCCTGGCCCAAGCCCAAGATGGGTTGATTTGAATCATGATCACCACAGACCTCTTTCACCAGTTGGCCCGATTCAACGTCCCTCATTATTGACTCGAAAGGCAAAGGATTGTTCGAGCTCTCTTTCTGCTTCCCTGTTCACCCTACTCACTCTATCAATTTCGAACAACTGCAATCACATTTACACTCTTTCTGCTCAATTCAATAGTTGCTCCAATTACCTGATGGCGAGCAAATAGAAGATTTTTTAACTTCAATTGAGTCGTTTGCTGGAATTGTTTCATTCCTTTCGCTTCCCATACAAATTTCCGATGACTAACAATTCAATATTTAAATTCATCGAATTATTATCAAAGCAGCAGAAAAACTAACCAATTGAAAGAAACTCTAAATCGAATCGCCTGGAAGACAGTAGAGCAGCAGTCCAAGGAGAAAGAAGGTGATTTTAGTGACGTTCAAATTATTAATGTGAACATATTCAATGCCAAGGATCCGTGGCGCAATGGTAGCGCGTCTGACTCCAGATCAGAAGGTTGCGTGTTCGATTCACGTCGGGTTCAAATCCCTTGATCCTCTATTTTTCAATTTTATTTATAAGTAATAAATTCCCCCACGGCACCCCCACGGCACCCCCTTTGACCATTTCTATTCCTATTTTTTTTTCCCTCTCCAGAAACGGAATTTCATGATCCATTTTATATCATAACTCATTTATATCTATTTATAAATTAAACTGTATAATTATTTCCAAACGGAGGCTTAATTTTTAACTTTAAATTTAAGCAAGCTCGAGCTACATTTCACTTGACAGGGATCCGATTTTACATCTTTAGTGATTTTGATAGGCATCGCATCCTCACCTCATGATCGGAGGACTTGTTTGAACGCTAAGCTTTGTTCGCTTCCCAACTAGAAAAGATTTTTTTTTGTTTGTTTATCCAATAAAAACACAGTAATATTCCATGCCACGTGTTCTTTTTTGTTTTACATTTTTACTCCATCGAATATGGGAGTGAAAACGAAAAAATCTAAAAAGAGCGTTCTTCACTAAACATGAAAAGAAATGACAAATGCATCGAGAATTATGGGCTATACTTTCTCATTTGTTCGACCCGGACATCTCTAGCCTTACAGTACCATCCCCATCTCTCTTTACATTTTAAGACACAAATGACGGGTTCAATACACAGTAATTGATAAACTAGGTTGTTTATATAGTAACTTCTTTTCTTTCTTAATGATGTCCAATACTCGACGGTCAACTTACCAAACGAACCAGAACTAGCATACATGAAAAGCGTGCTCTTACAGACTTACACCTAAACACCTGTTGAAGATTGTACTACTGGCTTACACAGTTCCACTACTTCAAGATGAAGTCCTAGTCTAACACTTATTTGCAGATCATAAAACAAAGCTAGAGAATAGTGTCGACATACGAGTAATCTCGACTCCGACCATATTCGAGGAGGCTACCGTATGTGCGATCCCATATTCCAATGAAAAGGGATTCTGTATCAGGACTGAATGACATGCCAGATATATCACCAAAGAAATCCATTTCCTGTTCCTTCTCGTAGCCACGTTTAACGTCAAAAACATGGACAAAATCCGCAGCCTCAGCCATTGCCATGAATCTACCATCAGAAGTGTAGCGGATAGAACGAATGGATCCAAGATTACCCTTCAAAGCAGTGACCGACTTGGACAGGTTTCGAGCATCCCAAATTCGACAGGTTTTATCCTGGTTCCCAGTAGCAAATGTTATACCATCAGGATGCCATGCTGATGCAAATGAGTAGTCCTTATGCCCGCGCAAATGAGCAATTCTCTGTAGAGGTTAATATCAAAATTTAGTGTCTGAAAGTAAAAGGCTTCCTCCGTCCCTACTTACTACTCGAGGAAAATAAGTGATATACCTTCCCACTACTCGAGTCCACCAACATACCATCCGGGTCATCTCCAACAATTACGAGAAGCTTTGCATTTGGACAAGGAGATGTATGCTGCCAGTGATATCCAGTAAATGTTGTTAAGAGTACAAAACTACGCATATGTAAAACGCCATTTAGCAAATATGAGCATACAAAGGTATCAGAAAGAGATTTCTTTAATTCTTTAAGGGTTCCTTATCCTACAGGGAGAATTTTCTCTTGCTAAAAATCATCCCCCCAAACTGGCGCTTAAAAATAAGCGTTTTGCTACACATACATTCTAGTTGACATTATATTTTACACTGGGGCACACAATTTTCCAGTGATTTCTCCAACACTTAAAACAATAAATGACCTCAATTTTACCACCTATTCAAATGTCATCCAAGTTGTACACAAGTAATATACAACTAGCATAATTCTATAAATAAAGATGCTCAAGTTGAAGAGTTTGAACTTCCAAACATGCATACTTTTGTGGATGACCCTAAAACTGTAAAATAAAGCTCATTTTAATACATATTATATCACTGATCTAAGAATTAAGACAGAAGGCAGGTGCTTGATGGAAAATGGAAGACTGTGGCTCTCCAAAGACTAGAAACAATCCAAATATAAATGCAATTTATGTCTTCCAGCAGCATCGATAAGCAAATTTGTGCACATACAAACAGTCATGCAGAGAGAGAGAGAGAGACTCACATTGACTGGCCAAGGAAAATAAATATGTTTGGACATGAATGTTTCCACATCAAAATCTCTAACTCCACAGTCATTATTTGAAGCTATAAAATGAATTCCACCACTGAAAAGGAAATACTAGAATGCTCAGGGAGATTTCCAAAACGAAAAATGTCATCCGCAACGAGTATAAGGGATCAACAGATACCTGCTAGATGTATATATCTCAACAGCATTAGTGATGGCATTATCACCATGGGATGTCCGCGTGCAGTAACAAATATCAGGCCTGTCTAAATACTGCAACCAGATAAGTGGAGAATGCTTCAGTAAAAGGGTTCAACTTTATGCAAAGCAAAACTGTGAGAGAACAGCTAAAGCCTAAAAGAGTAAACTGGATACCAAAACCTATCAACAAACTCAAGAATAAGATTTCATCATATTCTTCAGGGCCAGGCTATGAATCATCTTAAAAACCAATATGATTCATTACCAAAATGGGAAATTAGTAAATTTGCAACAGAACCAAAGGTCAAAGTGATGCAACCGGATTTCTTGAGTCATTTAGAGCACCCCAAAGATTCCTTGAGAAGCTGGCAGCTTGTAGGAGCCTGGCCACACTAATGATTGCTTTTAACTTCATATTTCCATCTATGCTATTTTAAAATTTTTGCATTTATTAACAAAGGGTAGGATTTATACCGTAGGTTTTTTTTTTCCCTCTTCAATATTGTGAGGGTATTTTAAACGCCCCAAAACACTTTGTCATTGTCTTGGCTTGTTTGATATGATTTACAAAACTGGGAATTTTCATCCAATCTTCGATCTTCTCTCGGTATTCATAGAATCAAGGAGAATAGGTAAAGGCGATGTCCTATTTTTCTCCACTGTGCTGCATCAGAAAGTAAATTTAAACAAAAACTACACAAAGCAGCAAGCAAGGAGTCAGCACATTGCATAGCCTGGCTATTCCGAATTACTAGCTTATTCTATTTGGAGATGATAGTAAATACAAAAATTATGCACTTGCATAACCTGGCCATTCAAATGAAGGGAAGTTAAACAGATAGCTAGTTGTTTTA